TTGGGGTGTGATTTTGAGACTCTCTTACACACACACACACACACACACTCACATACTCACTCACAGGCTTTTTTGCTTTGTTTATAGAAAATGTTGCCGATATGTCTGAAGAGGATTTTATTAAGTGCTTCTCATAGGATCAGCATTGATTCACAAACGTTTTCAAGCTCCCTCTTTGTGCAGGGACTTGGGGAAAGATGAAACATGGAGTAAGACAGATGCTTATGGTCTAGCAAGAGAAAGAAACCAATCCATAACTGTCACAATATCAGAGATGAACATGGTGGTACCAAGAGGGGGTGCCAGCAATAGTAAGTCAGTTGTGCTTCATGCTGTGCCCACAGTCCTATCAGCTGAAGCCTCCTGGCCATCTCTTCAAGGACAGACACAGGAATTGAGCTGAAGTAAAGCATTTATGGAATAAGAAATGCAGAAACTGCGGAACTTTCATTTCATAACTGAAAGCTTTCTCCTCTAGGAAAGGAAACAGATGAGTCTTGAATTTCAGAATTCCTTCTTTGATCATTTGAGGTGTCCAGCTAGGGCCTCAGAAGTGGATTTGTGCAGGCAGACCCAGATATGGCTATACTACCGACTAAAGCCAGGTTCTCTCTTCCTAACAAAAACTTGGCTTGGCTGTCCTGTGGCCCTTACTGTTTTGGACATGTTGGCAATCCCATGTGGTTTAATTGGTAGGAATTAACTTACTATATGAAGAATTTTTCTTTCCTGTGTAGACTTGAAATCCACTGTCACAGCAACAACCATAAAAAAGCTTTTAAAATTGGAAAGTTGTTCATTTCTTGGCAAATTTTTGGTTTCATTGAGCAGCCCCAGAGCTCATGGACTATGTCATTTGAGTTATTTAAAATCCAAAGCCAAACTTGTAATTCTCTATGGTTTATGACAGCTGCAAAGCGAGAATGAGAAGTGTGGTCTGGTTGGCCCCGGCAACAGGGCTCGCTCGCACAGAAGGCTGGGCCTTGCCGCCAATCGCTCTCTGCAAAACCTTGTTCTTTCATCACAGCAAATTAATCTTAGCAGTAATGTAGCGCTCTAAATAGCAGGAGTCTATATCCGTCCTCAGGGCTTTGTAATGTCACATTTACCAATAGCCATGTGGTCCGCGCGGTACTTGAGGGGCTTCGCTGGAGACCAGGGAGGAAGGGAGAAGCTCAGTGTGCATTTGCCTTGTCATCTAATGCACCCATTGCTTTCATTTCCTGGAGCTTTCCCAAAGAGACAAAGTAGCAGGGACAGGATCTTACTTGTGATCAAAAGGAATTCTTTTTACGAGACTTCTTAGCCCTGCGCTCCCACTCCTTCTCCTTCTGAGAGTTGCTGTATCGAGAGGCACAACCGCAGTTCTTCCTCTTTTCGTTGCCTGCCCCTGTTAAATACTAACGGGCACCCCCACTCACCCAGCTTTCCCTGCGTGCCAGGCGTTGTGTTCAGCTGCCTTATATACCTGTCTCATGCTTTACGTACATTAGCTCGCTGAATCCTCATGACAGCTCTGTGCGGTGGATATTAATATCCCTTCGCATTGCAGATAGAAGAACTGAGGCTTGGAGAAGGTCAGCAGTGCACCCAAGTGACAGGGCCTGGACTCGAACCCAGGGTGTATTACTGAGCTAACGGTAACATCAGCCAGACAGTTGCTCGGGCCAAAGAGTGAATGATCCTTGATTCCTTTCCTTCTTCCACCCTCACATCCACTCCCTCAACAAATCCTCTTGACCTTATCTCCTAAATATGCCCCAAACCTGGCCACTGTTTTCTATCTCCACAACACTAGCGCTGTCTGTTCCCCTATCAGCTCTTGCTTGAAACGCTTCTGCAGTCTCTTACTGAAGCTGATCTTGCCTTCGTTCCAGTCCATTCTCCCACGGCAGTGGAATGATATTTTAAAAATCTAAACTAGATCATATCACTTCCCTGTTTTGAAACTCCCACTGATGACCAGTCGCAATGAGGAGAAAGTGTTAACCTTTAAGATGGCCCATGATTGGGCTCCTGCTGTCTCTGTCCTTTCTGCCCCTCACACACACCAACCTCATTGCAGCCTTTACACAGGGTCCCCTGCTGAGAAAGCTCTTCCCCAGATCTTTGCCTGACTGGCCCTTCTCCTCTGCTCAAAGAGGCCTTCTCTGATCTTTATGTATATATCCAGTATGAAGACGCCCCCAGCCCACTCCAAGTCCTACATTTTATTCTCATCACACCCCCTTTTATCCACCTTACTCAGGGTACAGAGTAAGCCCGGAACAGAGGAGACGCTCAGCTCTGGCTCAAACATCATTTCCTTGGGGAAGTTTTCTGTGACTCTCTGTTGCATCTTTCACAACAACCCCAATTTGTCCTGCCTGGTGCTCATCACATGTTTGTGTGACTATTTGATTAAAGTCTTTCTCCCCCACCATAATCTTTATGCGGGCTGAGGATGGTCTGTCTGCCCACTGCTTTACTCGAAGTACCCGGCACGTCCATTTGTTAGTGGATGAATGGAGGTACGAATCACTTTTCTTGCATCAACTTGGTCCACAGTTGGAACTTGTATGCCTCAGACGCATGAGCAAGGAGTTCCTCAGTGCCCATGACTCCCTCAGGAATCACATCAGGATGTTAACAGAGACAGACGGTGGGAATAGGAAAGAAACCTTGGGACTCTTCTGACCTGTAACACTGAGCGAGCGGCCCACGCTCTACTGCCCCATATGCCTTTTCAATGCTGCCTTTTATGTTTTGCTTCTTACTGCTTACAACCCTCCATCGGACACTCCATCAGTAAGCATGGAGTCCAGCAACACCCTCAGTCTACCTCGCCGATGTCCACTTTTTGTCATAATTTCCATAACACATTGTTTTTAAAATGAGGCCCACTTGTGTGTAATTGTGAGGCATTATTATCAACTCTGGTCGACCTAGCTATAGATGAGGAATAATAAGTTCAAAAATTGAAGTCCTGTTTCTGTTACTGAGTGATTTTGAACCGAGCTTTTAATTTCAGTGACTGACTTGCTCTTCACATTTCCCAAGGACCAAAAGACTTGGAATCCTAGAGATTCAGCTCCACGGTGTGATTCCCCAAACCCACTGTTGAGCCAGAAAGTTCAGGAGTCCAACACTATTAACTCACTTTTCTTGTTGTTGAAGCCTAGGCTTTGTAGATTTCCCTTCTCTCCATTCCCCTCTCCCTAAACTGCCAGCAACCCTTACAGAGACAACTAAAGCTTAGAAATAGTTTTCAAAGAAACATTTCTTTCTAAAAATAGCCTCATTCTAAAAATAAACTTAAATAGCTCTAAGTTTATAGGGATTTTTTTTTTTCTTTCCACATCAGGCAAAGAAGCCAAAGTTTGGAGTGTGTAGATTTCAAATGTTTGCTTGGTTGTTAAACCATATTGTTTCTCAGCAGGAGACCACAAAAATCATTATCCTACTAATGATTACCTTGAGCTAATGCATTAATCACAAGGCTTTCTTCATACACTGAGGCTCTGTCTAGCTATATAATAGCATCCAAGTGTCTTGGCCAAGAATTAAGTAGTTTACGTGAGTGTAAGCAGAATTGTTTGAAAGCCTAAACCAGACACAGGTGTGGGTCTTGTTTTTTGTGTTTAAATTTTATTATTTTTCTGGGGTGGTTTTTTTTTTTCCGTAATATCTTCAGCGGATATCCTGGCATTTGACAAAGTCATTCACGCTGTAGTCCATCTGTCCCTCTTGGCTTAGGGGTCAGTTCAAGCTGCCCCACTGATAATATGCTAAAATGCACAAGCATATTTTAGAAACTTCCTCTCCACCTGGCTTCTTGTTTCCAGAGAGTAGTTCCTTGCCCCTTCCTCTCATCCCAGCACCAGCCAATTCCTTTTATCCTGCTGGTCCACTTAGTCCCCTTTCTGCTGGAACTCCCAGCTCCCTGGCATAAACAACATCTCGAGATCAAATTTGTAAAAAAAAAAAAAATTCCAAAGAGCTGCCTCAATTCTGTTGTTGCACTGGAATTATCATCACCAGTGTCCCTTATACGTCTCATGCGCTTCTTCTAGGATTTCACACACTTTATCACATTTGATCTCTCAAGGAGTCTTGTGACTGTATCCTTGTTCAGCAGATGAGGCTGCTGTGGCTCAGAGAAGCAAGATGATTTGGCCAACGCTGCAGAGTTGGAGCTCAAACCCACATCTCCCGCCTCCAGCTTTCCCACTGGCCTGTGGTCTCACTCAATGATATATTCTGAAAGAGTGGTCATATGCAGGAGCTGGGAAGTAATTTTTCTCAAGGAGATTTTTATTGTGGTGGTTGTAATAGGACTTATTTGGGAAGGGATTTCTGTCTGTAATCTGGAACACATAAGATTAGCTTTATAGTTTGTTCTGGAATTCAAACCCACCTGGCATTTTGATTCATTCTTATTTATGCTTTTACTTTTTTTGGGGGGGGGGGATCCGAACCGGGGCCCTCTGGCATCCCAAGCCAGTTCTTAACCATCACGCCACTCGGCCAGCCCTCATTCTTATTTATGGAGCACTCATTACACGCCAGGCACCAGAGTTGGGATGTGGAATAAGGCAGGCACAATCCTTGCTGTCGTGGACTCTCGGTAGCAGAAGACAAATAAATGGCCATTGCAATAGTTTAATACATATTTTGGTAGGGATGTACTGGGTGGGATGGGAGCATGTGTCAAGGACATCTAACCCTAACTGGACAGTTGGGCAAGGCTTCCCAGAAGAATGGACTTCTAATTTGAAAATTGAAGGATGAGTGAGAATTTTAGCCAGATTGGGATTGGGGCCGGGTGGGGTGGGCAGTAAGGTTTTAAAAAGATGGAAAAGCAATGTGAAGGCCTAGAGGTGAGAATGTGGTCCGTGTTGTCTCAGTTCTTGCTTTAGTAGATCAGATTTCATGATCCAGCTGTGGGAGAATCCTGGAAAAAGCCTATCAATGGGGAAAGCACAGAAAAGACTTATCTCTTTCTCATGTTTTCTTAACAGAAAAAACTCGAGTCTCCACTCCTATCCACCAATCCCTTCCTGGAAGATGAACCAACACCAGAGATGGAGGAACTGGCAATGGAGAAAGGAGATTTAGACCAAGTAAGTCTGGTTTGCATTTCCATGTGCAACCTGCCTACTGTTTGTTTCTAAAGATGGGTCTGCTCACTCTAAATAGGATTCTTTGGCTGTTGACCACATTCAAAGATTACAACTTTGGTGGTCTTTATAGAAAGTCTTTATCTGAAAGTGCATTTAGAAGGCTGAGCAAAAGAGCAACCTTTCCTGCCACACCCCTCTGCTCCTGAAGAACCTCACCACTGGAATTAGCAACGCACACAAGCTTAATTAGCCCATGTGATGGGGCAGCAGAATTGTGCCCTGCTTCGTTCATCATCTCCTGCACTTGTCAGCTTAGCTTTCAGTTGTGCTCTCATCTGGTCCGGTGATGATGTGAGAGGCGGAAAGATCCCCAGTGAAGTCAGCAGCACCATCAGCTAGGAGAGGCCTCCACTCCATGTAAGCTGATCTCTTTAGGTCTGGAAGCCATTGAGGAGGCCTGGAAACATCAAGGTGACCAATAGCATATTTGGAGAGTTACTTTTCAAAGCACACTAGCACTTTCATTTCCTTTGGATTTTTCTGTCCAACTCTAAATTTCCTCTCCCTTCATCCTACAGAATGGTGTTTTTGTTTCACTGCCACTTTATGACAAGAGCAATAAATCAGAGCTTTTCCTGTCTGGATTAGTTATTCTTCTTAATTTTCTACACCTGGCTTCTAACTGATTATTTTATAGTATTGTTTTGCTCCAGACACTACCGAAAGGGAGGCTGGTTGGGAGGACCAGCTCTGGGAAACCTGTAGCCATGCTCTTTGCAGCTAACCCTACATTCCTAGCCCAGTGAGGGTGTACAATCCTGGCAGAAGCCAAGAAACCAGAATTTCCAGGAGCAGTTCTGAAGTGATGCAGTAACATGTGTCTGGTCCATTGATTAAATAATTGTAATGACATGAACACCTCGCGTTTTTATGGTGCTTTATAGTTTAAAAAGGCTTTTACATGCTCCATTTCATTTCGTCTTCACAGTGCCTGCCTCTCATTTTATAGGATTTTATATGAGCTGCAATGCCTGCAGCTCAGAGAGGTTAAGTGATTTGCCCAGGGTTACAGAGTCTGGAAGTGGAAGAGCTAGGATTGGAAGCCGGGCCTAGACGTCAGAGACTAGAATTCTTTTCCTGGCACTCTTTTGACTACACTGTGATGTCTGCATGAAAAGTAGAGGACATAGAAATGAATCCCATGAATAAAAGTGAATGAATAAAACTGAAGGGATACTTTGAGGCTGTATCCCAGAGGTCTGTGGGATTAGCAGTAATGGATTTAAAAACATCCTATCAGCTAGCATGGGAGAAAACAAAAGATTTTTTTTCTTTTTTTTTTTTTTAATATGGAACACTTCACAAATTTGCGTGTCATCCTTACACAGGGGCCATGCTAATCCTCTCTGTATCGTTCCAATTTTAGTATATGTGCTGCTGAAGCGAGCACAAAAGATTTTTTTCTAACTGAAGAATCGCATCTCTTGAAAGACCCTATCTCCAGAGCAGAGTAGGTAAATGCTGTGTTCGCCTCCTCCTGCAACCACATCAGAATTATAACTACGCTACAGAACAGCCATCATTGAGAATTGCCTGAAGTCTGAACAGAAGTTCTGTAACTACAGATATACAGCAGAAGCCACTTCAAGACTGGTAGGAGAAGCAGAGATGCAGAACGAGCTGCCCGCACCCACGTGTGGCAGTTAAAAATCGGGAGGGATATCTCAGCTGCGAAGGTCTCCCCTGAGGAGCAAGGGGACCCAGACCCACACCAGCCTCCCCAGCCCAGGGTTCCGGTGCGGGGGAGAGAAGCCCCCATAACTTCTGACTGTGAAAACCAGCAGAGATTGTGGCTGAGTGAGCCCGAGGGCAGCTGCAATCCTAGATGCTCCTCATAAAGGGACCGCCCATGGACTTATTCCCTGATGGACTCACTCTCCAGCACTGGGGCAGCAGCTAGAAAGGTGCCAGGGACATATGGGGAAGAACTGAATTGTCTGGCTTCAGGGCAAGGGGTAGAGGGGCAGCTTTCTCCCAGACAGAAGTGCTGGCAGAAGCCATTGTTCTTTTCTTGAACCCATCCCTTCCCAGCATACAGACCCAGGCAGTCACCATATCTGAGTTTCCGTCATCCTGGCTAATGCTAGTCACCCCACCCAGGTGATTCCCTGAGACCCTCCCCCACGCAATTTGTGGGCCGACCCGAGCTTCTTCTAGTGGCTTTTTCACACAAACAGCCTGTCTTGGCTCATGCTGTGGACTTGCCTAAAATCACTCAAAGGTTCACAAACCACAAGCAAGTAGCATCTGGCCTCGATGTACCCTGTACCTTTTGCTAAACAACCCCAAGCTCGTCACTCGCAGCAGCTGGCTCCAATTTGCAGCCTAGCCTCTCCCAGACACCTCCAAGCCCAGCACAAGTGGCAACGATCTACAGATCACTTTGTAGCTCGTATCAAGTGGCCACAGAAAGGGCACAGGCTGCGGCTTATCTTGGCTTGCACCAGAGCCCCTCCCAGGAGGCCCCAGAACCAACACACCCAGTGGCCAGTTTCAGCCCACACAAGAGCACTACCTCCACAAACAATGTACCCAAAGGGCAGACTGGGAAGGCACCAGAGCCCTACTAAAGTGAATCCTGCTCCGTAGGATCAGCCCCTACACAATACCTCCTCCACTGTAGTCATGGCCAGCCCTCACAACCAATCAGCCTGAGGGTCAATCCCTCCCTTTGATGTACCAACAAAAATCAAGGCTCAATTACAACATGAGGGCACACACCCACATAGGACACACCTGGAGCACATGGCTGAGATGACCAGGGAGACTGTACCACTGAGCCCCACCAGACACCTACTATATTAGGCCACTCTACCAAGACCAGGAGACATAGCAGCTCTACCTAATACATAAAAACAAACACAGGGAGGCAGTCCAAATGAAGAGACAAAGAAACATGTCCTAAATGAAAGAACAGAACAAAACTCCAGAATAAGAACTAAACAAAACGGAGATAAGCAGTCTACCAGATGCAGAGTTAAAACACTGGGTATAAGGATGCTCAGTGATCTCAGGGAGAACTTTAATAAAGAGATAGGGAACATAAAAAAGAACCAGTCAGAAATGAAGATACAGTAACTTAAATGAAGAATAATACATTAGAAGGAATAGAAGTAAATTAAATAAAGCAGATTGAATCGATTTGGAAGATAAGGTAGCAGAAAACACCCAATCAGAACAGCAAAAGAAAAAAGAATTCAAAAAAATGAGGATAGTTTAAGGGGCCTCTGGGACGATATCAAACATATCAACATTCACATCATAGAGGTACGAGTAGGAGAAGAGAGAGAACAAGGAATTGAAAAATCTATTTGAAGAAATAATGACAGAAAGCTTTCCTAACCTGGCAAAGGAAATGGATATTCAAGCCCCGGAAGCCCAGAGTCCCAAACAAGATGAACCCAAAGAGGCCCACACCAAGGCACATCCTACTTAAAATGCCAAAAGCAGCAAGAGAAAAGCAGTTCATTACCTACAAGGGAGCTCCCAGAAGACTGTCAGCTGATTTTTCAACAGAAACTTCACAGGCCAGAAGGGATTGGCACAAAACATTCAAAGTGATGAAAAGCAAGGACCTACAACCAAGATTATTCTAACCAGTAAAGCTATTATTTAGAAGGACAGATAAGAGTTTTCCAGACAAGAAAAAGCTAAAGGAATTCATCACCACCAAACCAGTATTACAAGGAATGTTAGAGGGACTTCTTTAAGATGAAGAAAAAGATAAAAAATATGAAGAATAAAATGGCAATTACTATATATCTATCAACAATTACTTTTAATGTAAATGGATTTAATGCTCCAATCAAAAGACATGGGGTGGGGTTGGCCGAGTGGCGCGATGGTTAAGAGCTGGCTTGGGACGCCAGAGGGCCCCGGTTCGGATCCCACATATGAGGGCCAGTGACACTGCCTCCTCTATAGCTAAGATGCTGAACAACAGCTCATCCTGGAGCTGGGCTGCCGTGAGTCGTCGGCGACGGTGTAGGCTGCAGCCCCTGTGGCAGTGGGTTGCCATGGGCTACCATGTGTAGCCAGCAGCCAGCGTGAGCGGCCAGCAGCCGCAGTGAGCGGCCGTCCAGAAGCCGGCGACTGATCTGCCTCTCCCAGGAAGAGCGCAATGATGGTGCCAACTTGGGCCAGTGAAGCAACGTCCTCCACAACTAGACTGAAGAACAAAAGGACAGCAACTTGTCTGTTCCCCTTCCCCCAATTCCCTAATAAAAATCTTAAAAAAAAAAAAAAAGTACAAATTGGTACTCATAAAATAGTCATGGGGATGTAAAGTACAGCATAGGAAATACAGTCAATAATATTGTAATAACTGTATGATGTCAGATGGGCACTAGATTTACCACTTCCTAAGTTATATGAATATCTAATCACTATGTTCGCTATGTTGTACACCTGAAACTCATATAATATTGCATGTCAGTGGTAATTGAAAAATAAAAAATTACTTTAAAAAAGCACCTGTCACATTTTGGGAGGAAGGACTGGGATGGGAAGGAGGAGTCTGGATGCAGAGCTCATGCTTCTGGTGCACCCCCTCTCACACGCGGTCCCCTGCCCCCTCTGAGCTTGCTTCGTGTAGTTGTGCCATTTTCAAGGCCCTCCTGTCTCCCCAGTGCTGGGGACTGCCATTGTCATGTCCAGAATTGGGTAGTTGGACAATCGTGCTCATAGTGTTGCGGTGGAAAGTTATCCCTTTAGCTCGTCATCCCTGGATGCGATTAAATTGAGTTAGGATAGAGTCCCCCGTTACCTGTGAAATCAGTTCTGCCATGTAAAATATGATTTTTCATTCTCACGGAAGTTTCTGCTCATTCCGGAAGCTCAAGGTTATTGTTGTAAAGCCCAAGACCTACTCATTCTAAGGACACAGAACACAGATACACGGGGTGAAGCAGTGTCACATGGTGGGGAAAATGGCAGACTCT